TTTTTCTTGTCTTTTTTTTCTTTTCGTCGATCTTTTTCATCAAATTTCTCATCAATTTCCTTGAAAAATAAAAATAATATTTGAAAAATCAATATCTTATTAAAATAAATTCATACTTTTAAAATATCTTCGAGATCTTGTCCTTCACCTTCCCTAATATTTCCTTCATCATTAGTTGTTGTTGTCTGTTGTTTATTTTTTTTATTTCCACCTTTTTTTGTTGAAACACTTGTTGATTCAATAGCAGCTAATATAGAATCAATATCATCATCTTCTTTTTTGTTTTTTGATGATTGGGCTTTCTTTTTATTTGATTTCTTTTTTGAAGAACTTGATACTGTTGTTACCTTAGCTGTTGTTGTTGTATCTTTGTCATTATCATCACTATCATTATCTGCACCTTCATTTTCTTCATCAGAAACTAGATTAGCAAATTTCGATTGAAATGAAGTGGTAACAGTTTCCTCCTCATCATCATCATCGTCTTCGACATCTTGACTAATGTTTGCGTTTCTAAATGAAAATAAATGATCATTTTTGTAAATGAAGTTTAAATTATTATTTTACTTAGGTATGGGTGCTTTCTTGTTTTTGTTTGCCATTTATATTGATCATTCGGATGTATATTAATCTGAATAAAAATAAATATGATCATTTAGGTAATCATGCAAATTTCTCTTCCTTTAGATTATATAAAATATAAACTAAAGAGAAAACAGAATTACGAAAGATGAAAATATAGAATCAAAACGGACGATGATTTAGTGCAAACTAGAAGGTTTTTATCTTTATTGGTCGATAACTATCAAATAGATTTTCATTTGATACGATGATGTGAAATGATTCAAAACCAGACCTGAAAAAAAAACACAACTATATTTTCTTTGATGAAAAGATGTCGCTAGATTAAATACAAGGATTTTGCAAAGAGGAAGTATATTTTCTTCATAGCATATTTTTCTATTGCAATCGATTCTTATCAGATAAAAAACATCTTACAATATAGTATTCAATTCAACCAAATTTTATTAAATAAAAAATATCCACAAAGAAAAACAACTTCGTATATAAATACATATAACAAAATACATGAGATAAAAGATAAAATCAGATCAATATATGAATCACAACAAAATATATATATATGTCTTATATTTTCATTTGTGATCTCCTTGAAGTAATGTTTCGTCAGAATAGCTACCATTATAGTTATCTTTAGTTTTCAGATAGTCATTGAAACCGGATTCGATGATAACAAAATAAACAGAATCAAATATATTAATTTAATGGATTTCGCATCATATTATAAATACATTTAACAGTAAATCGAGGTAGCATTGCTGTAACAATTGTCAATAAATTTGTAAACCAAAATCGACCTTGTCGAAGTGCTTGATATGATACTTGATATGGACTTTCACCTGGAATACATACAACACAAACATCATCGAATACCAATGTGAAACCAAGAAATACCAGAAAACTAAATGCTGTTGAACTTATCAATGACCAATCAATTCGAGATGTTTGTAAAACAACATGTATTAAAGATGTTACAATCATACTGAATATAATCGAAAAACCAAACGATGATACATCATTAAAAGATTCATTTTGATAAGAAAGATAAGCCATAAAAAAGATGACTGCACTTTGCCAAACAGCGTCCAAAATATTTACCCAATACGACCACATTTGATAACATCTTGCATGAAGAGTATATTGAT